CTGCTACTGCTACTGCTACTGCTACTGCTACTGCTACTGCTACTGCTACTGCTACTGCTACTGCTACTGCTACTGCTACTGCTACTGCAAGCCTTAAAGCAAAATCAAATATGGCATTTGATGTATATTGTTATCATGTTTTTAAAATTCGTCACATGAGGAGTTCAAGGTTACAAGCAAGCCTACCAAAAGAGCGAATTTACTTGCACAATACGCGCCATATCCAGGGACTCCTGAAAGAATAAACGACAGAGAACTCCGATATTAAATGAAAGTAAAACATGGAATGTTTAAGAGAGTGTAACTAATAGGTATGGTCTCGCAAGAAGAACTCAGGAAGATGTTCTCAGGAGGGGAAGAAATGGGTTCGAGGGAAGAGGAGAGGTCTGGGAATAGGGATTGAGGAATATTACAGCTGGAGGAATGAGATAAAAATAAAATAGCGAGTGCAATGAACATAGGAATGACGAGGAGTAGGAGAGGAAAGAGGGGGAGGAAGATGACGTGGAAGAGGAAAAGAAGTAGAATTTGGATGAAAAGAAGAAGCCAAGGCAAAAGATGATGAGAATATCAATAAAACGTGCAAAAGGAGAATGCGGAAGAAAACGAAGATGGCGCCGGGAGACATAAAGAGGAGGAGGAGGATAAGTAGTTGCATGTGGATAGAGTCCAAGAGAAAGAGCAGCAGAAAAAGTAATTCTAATAATTTGAAAACATCGAGTACTGATAAGGAAAGAAAAGATTTAGGCATTCATCGACCATTTTAGGTTTTGTTTAGCTCCTCATTTAGAAGGTTCAACCTTACCATACAATCCATAAACACTACTGACAGCAACTATCTGTCCTGATTGTCTCTTCAGCATATGGGGAAGAACAGCTTTGGTCAGTGAAATTTGCCTAAGCAGATTGATATCCAGTAAGGTTTTCTCGATTTCAAACGGGTTTTTTTCAATATAATAGATCTGGGCCACTCCGCCATTGTTAACTAGGACATCGATCTATAAATCACAATTATCTTTTGATTATAATTACTGCTAGCATAACTATAATATATGGTACTGGACAGCTGTACACAAGATGTCGGCGTGATGGTGAAATCACGAGTTGGGGCAGATGGCCTACCCTGGGGTACTATTTATTCTCCGCTGCTCTGGCGTTTGCTGTTTTGAAGGGATAGCTCGGTCATTACAATTACAGAAAGAAAAATAGAACCTCTGGAGCCCAGGGTACAGATGGCCCAAATTTTGAAACAAGACGTGAATTGATCTTGCCATGCTTAATTTTCAGCAGATGACACCTGCACTCCCTCCCCCTTGTCTAAAAATCGCCTGAATTGCATCTACGCATTACCTGTCCAAAATGTTTAACAACTTGGCTTGTAAGTTCTGTGTGAGTCGCAAACTTGGCCAAATCCAGCGGTAGGACCATTATGTCCTTCTCCTTGTCAAATGAAGGGTGCTTGGCTATTGCGATATCTAAAATATGCAAAACAACATCAGCATCAATGAACGCGATATCATTAGTACTGTAAGTAAGCTTAGTAATGACCAACTGATGTCACGCATGATGCATCTGCATAAACACAATGACATTGAAGATGTCGTTATGCAAATATTCTCCCGAACTTAACCGTTTGGAACGACCGAGAGCGATGTTGTCGACCGACGAGGTGAGCTCTTTAGGTACACCTCACTTTAAAAAATGTTTTCTCCAAAATTTGGATAGGACGAGCTGTAGAAATTTTATTACTTGGAGCCATTTAGAAGAAAACGGCGAAAATGTGATTTTTAGCAAACCCTCGGGGGTAGGGGTACTCCCCTATATTTACTATACGGGTATGTGCCGCCCTATAGGGTATGGTTTTTCGGCTTTTGGGTCGCTGGGGTAGGGTATCATTTTTTGACATTTTGTCTGGGATAGGGTATCATTTTAGTCTGGGATAGGGTTAACAGGCTACGCTTTCTTCCGGCACAAAAACAATAAAAATGTTAGTAAATATTGATTGCAATCGATTGTAAAACCGTATTTTCCGTCTTTTAGTCTGGGATAGGGTGTACAATTCTTAGTTTTAGTCTGGGGTAGGGTATGTAAAACCAAAATTTTAGGTCTGGGATAGGGTCAGGATTTTGAGGTCCTGGCGGAACACCCCTACCCAAGTTGGGGTGGTAGTACCCCCCCCCCCCCCCAGGGTCATTACCTGCACATTTGTCCCTGACTCTCTCCAGCTCGTTTTTCCTTCGTGCAGAAAGAACCAGTTTACATCCACATTGGGCTAATTCATAAGCTAAGTATTCACCAATCCCACTAGAAGCTCCTGTAATCCACACTACTTTACCATCAAGAACAGAACATGGTTCACGACCAAACTTCTCGTAAAAGAGAAGAGTCAAATCTGCATCTTGATGGTACCAGAAGAAATAACCAAATACAGAGACAAACACAACTAGGACGGCTAAAATATACTTCATGGCTAGTGAACTGGGTTATATTTGAGCTTGAAATATACGGTAGTTCTCTTCGGCAAAACAGCACTTTAGGGGGTCGCTGTTCGATAGACCGAAAAGTTTTAGTTTATGCATATGCAGAATTAACGTGTCACACAACGGCAATTATTTAGTCTGCTCGAATGAAGGGGGGAGGGGTGGAGTTTGGGCTGGATAGTTCTGAGAATAAATATCTGGAAGCCGTTATATCTATCATCTGGTAATTAACGCCAACATAATAGCTGCCATCTTGGTTGATTTAGGAAAGGGAAGCTAATGAGGAATGCTTTGTCATACACCCTAAGAATACGTAAGATTAATGCTATGAGCCATTTCGAGGTCGAGGAAAATACTGGGTCAAGTTGGCACTGCAGTGCATCGTGGGGCTGTTTTAGAAGACATCCAAGATGGTGTCTATTTCGTCCCCCAAAACATCCCCAAAATGCTCTGCAAAGGCTACTCGACCTAGTTTTTTCAATAACCTCTGAATGGATTATTGGGTGTAACGGCTTGGGGTCACCCTTGCTCTTAACTACGCTTACTTACTACGCTAATTGTAATTGACAAAGTGACGTAATTAAATAAACAGCAAATCATTTACATTGGGTGAGTGGGATGAATTAAAAGTTCTTTTTAAATTTGTCAAAAATTTATTGAATTTCTTGGTCTTCAAAATGAACTTTATTCATAAATCATGCCTAATCTTCATGCCTAAAGTTGTACGGCAATCGCGTCTAAAATAAGGTTTTGGTGGACTTCAACCAAAGTGTTTCCATAACATTGCCGGAAAGCACAAAGCTTTCGAGGGCACGTGCCTATGGAACGTCATGGAAACGCCTTGATTGACGTCCACCAAAACCTACTTCCTCGCGACGGCACTAAATTGTACGATTTCGCGCGCGTTATTGAGAAGCGCTGTAATCACCGGCCAAGTCATTTCCTTTGTTGTTGTTTTTTTGTTTTTTATCTCAAGATCTGCTTCAGCATTTGAACGAGACTAGTACTCTTGCAGCCTTAGGTAAGCTTGTCGAGGATCTTTTCAAAAACCCTGAAACAGTAAAACCGGAGAGAGACCATAAGGAGCTTGGAAAAATAAGAATATTGGTCAGGTCTAGAAAGCTGAGAAAAACAAGAAGAGAGAAGAGAAGAAAGGAAAGGGAAATGAGACGAGAAGATAAAAGACAACAGAAGAATAAGGAAAAGAAGACAAGAGCCAAAAACATGAGAAGAGAAGAGAAGAAAGGAAAGGGAAATGAGACGAGAAGATAAAAGACAACAGAAGAATAAGGAAAAGAAGACAAGAGCCAAAAACATGAGAAGAGAAGAGAAGAAAGGAAAGGGAAATGAAAACGAAACAACGAAACAATACAAGACAAGAGGGGCGTAGCCAGGATTTACCAGGGGGGGGGGGTGGGGGATTGGAGAAACTCAAAAATCCGGGATTTTGTTTGCGTATTACATTTTAAGCTTTATTTTCGCAAAAATAAATATTTAAAAAACGTATCAAATCTACTGAAAAAGCCGCCGTTTTGTTGCCACGAGGGGGGCCTGACCCCTTTGCCCCCCTGGTTACGCCCTTGGACAAGATACTGAAGAACAAAAATTACCTGAGGTGAATAGAAGGCATGTATTGAGCCATGTAGATAGATATCAGCGATGGCTGCGTGGATGGCCAAACTTCGGTCAGATCATTCGCCATGGTAACGACCATAAGCTTTGCACTCCGTTGAGCTGTCATAAACTTTATCTGTGCAAACGTATCCCTGGATTGCTTGTACTCGTCTGTCTCTTTATACGTCTGGTTGTCAAATATATTAATATTTTAATTTATTCTAATACTGATGGCCAAATATTTTGATATTTTGATAAATTTTAATACATTCAAATATATTTTAATATTTTTTGAAAAATATTAAAGATATCTGGTTGATGGACAATTTTTGGTTGAGTGAAATGTTGCCTGGGTTGTAGCGCATTAGATATTAAAATATCATTATAAACCAAAGCACAAAATATATACCAAACATAAATTTATGTCTCACACCTACCAAGTTTACGGTGTTTGTCAGTCTGTTTCCTAAGACGTCAGTCAAGACAGGACCAAACAGGACCGTTAGCACTTTGATGTTCCTTTTCACTGTCTCAAAACGAAGTGTATTGAAATATCCCTGAAATCACACAATACGGTAAAAGATATATGACCCATATTTTTGTTGGTACGTGCAGATCGAGACAACAGTCGCGACAGGGAAACCAGGCTTACTATCAATCACTTGACTTTTTTGGAGTTGACTGGGGGGAAACAAGCGGTTGAATGAGGGGGCAAATAGCGGATGTTAAGTCAAAACCTGTCAAAATAAGTCCTCAAACTATTGTATTTGACTATTTCTACGACATGAAACAAGAAAACAAAAGATCAAAACGGAAGTGACGTCTATTGATAGAGCAACCTATAGACCGTTTTCGATTTGAGTCATATACCGCTGTGTTCATTGATTACGGACTCATTTACTCAGGGTTAGCCTCATTCCAGTGTCCTAATATTCACAAATACCAACGGTAAAGTAAAGCATGCATAACTTCAACAATGCAAACACTTTGAAATTTCACGGACCTTCGATGGAATTCACACACAACTACAAAATTTTCTCGTGTTCTCGTGTCCACCTTCGGAAAGCTTGGACGCAAAAAAATAAAAAAAAATAAAAAAAAGAAAGCAGAAAAATAATTTAGCTCTTCTTCTGCAAAGTTACTTACAACTATTTAAACAAAAGTCTTACCTGAAGACCAAATTTGCTTGCACTATACGCGGCCAATCGAGGAAACCCTGAAAAATACATTACAGTAGACAGACCCTTTTAGTTTGGGCGTAATGCTCTCCCATTTCAAACCACGTGTCATTCTCTTGAGAATAAGATTCTTATCAAATTATTCTCTATGTGTAGTTTATTAAACCCCTCATGATCACCTAAAGGCGCGCCTCTCTCAATAAATAAACAGGCGAGGGAATTAAGGGCTGGACAGGATCCGATATCTTGAAAAAGTAAGCATATGAAAAGAAAGTATGTCGATCATAGACTACTCATAGACTCGTGCCTCATCACTCCTAAAGACTACAAAGCTGTCGTTGAATTATAGTCACAGACTGCTCCTAAAATTCGAGGAACAGTTTGAGAACCAAAAGCAGCGCATGAGTTTATCAACAGTCTGCTGCGAGCAGTGGACTACTTGGACGAAAGGTGATCGATATGTGCCGTCTTAATTCATCTTTTGTTGTATTCTTTTTGGGGTGAGCTGTTAATATCAATCGACGTCATTACTGCAACAAAGCTTTATTTGCCCCCTGGACGCCCCATAATGCCTTGCGATCCAACATGGCCGCCGTATTGTCGATATAAGACAATTTTAGGACGAGCACCTTGTTTGAGTTGTATCCATCAGTTCATGAATGGAGATCTCTGAGTTCATGTGTCTTCTCACGCGCAACCGTTAAACAAAGAAATATACCCCAGTGATTGACACTTGCTATGTCAGAAATAGTAAARCATTACGTCCAAGGAAAGGAGTTATATAAGTTCATGCACGTCTCTGAGTTCATGTGTCTTCTCACGCACAACCGTTAAACAAAGAAATATACCCCAGTGATTGAAACGTGTTATGTGGTCAGAAATAGTAAAGCATTACGTCCAAGAAAGGAGTTATATAAGTTCATGCACGTCTCTGAGTTCATGTGTCTTCTCACGCACAACCGTTAAACAAAGAAATATACCCCAGTGATTGACACGTGTTGTGTGGTCAGAAATAGTAAATGATGATGATGATTGATGATGATTATGATTTATATAGCGCCATTTCCTATGTGGATATAATCAAAGGCGCTTTACATGGAGTTGTGAATGACAGATTGCTTTTTTAAGCAATTTACAAGCATGAGAGATTATGGTTAGTATGAAGTGGAGGCACTGAGGGTGGTCACTGCCAGGGTTTCTTTTTACGTCCTCAGTGGTTCTTTTATGTCCCCCATTTACTGTAGGTTGGAAAGGTTTATCTTCTTTCCTTACCAAATTTTCCAAAGACGCTGCTCACAACGACGATCTGTCCTGCTCGTCTCTCCAGCATGTGAGGAAGAACAGCTTTGGTCAGCGAAATCGTTCCAAGCAGATTGATATCCAGTAGGTTTTTCTCGACTTCCAATGGACCTTCTTCAACCGCAAATGTCTGAGACACTCCACCATTGTTTACAAGAATATCGATCTATAGAATCAGATTAAGATTTAACATTTATAAACGAAAGTGCCTGGAACGAAAACATTCTTCTACCTCCCGGCCCCAACGGGTTTCCTAACATACTCGAAAGAAGTCCACTTATATACAGAAGAATACTGAAGTATTTCGTATGACATTGAATCGAAACTGCCCTCAATTAGAATGGCTAGCTCAGCTGGGAAGATTGATGCTCCTATTTAGTATAATTATAGACTTGAATATAGAGTGATTCTGAGACAATACTCCCTGACCGCTTATGATTATGAAGTTTCCCAAAGTTAGCCAGATTGAAAGTAATACTCAAACGTTTTTATATCCTGAAGCCCCCCGATACCCCTGGCTCCGGCGCCTCTGTTTATGTAGTTCTTTCGGAGACCTTTGTACTGACTGTCGCCTTTAGCTCTTTATATATCTTGAACATCCGTTTTCGGGCGCGAGGGCCAAATAACGAATAAATATATACTCCTTAACCCAATAATTAAAATACAATATTGCATGAGGTGATTGCCGATTTCCTCACCTTTCCAAAACGCTGTATCACTTGGCTTGTAAGTTGTGTGTGAGTCGAGAATTTCGTCAAATCCAGCGGTAGAATTAAGGCGTCTTTTTCCTTATTAAATAACGGGTACTTTTCTATGGCAACACCAATGCGATGAAGAAATTAGAATGTTAGATTGCAAAAGTTTTGCAAAGCAAATAGAGACTTGCCTGCTTAAGGACGGAAGGGGGTGGGGGTGTGGGGGGTAGACCTATATAAGGAAGAGCAGGGAAGCTCGTATAAAATTTTGAAATGACCCCTAAAAGAGAATCCTATGGAAATACTATGTTATTAGAGAGATCTTTAGCCTGATAAAACACATAGCCTACGTAGCGCCCCAACCCACCTCCCCAAGAGCCGCTACGCAGGCTATAAATCACATGACGTCCTTTCGCTCTCCCTCATCAGTAGTAGGAAAACGCCATTTTCACAACAATAGACTGCAACGGTGTGCCGGTGCTTCTCTGAGAACAATAGCCGGTGTACATTCTTGGCGCACTGGAGAACGTAACGGACGCACATTCTTGAGCCCCGAAGAATTTCACATTCTTAGA